GAAAACAAACGAGAAAACGTAATTTTAGGAACGTTACTGGCGATCGGCGAGCAGCGAGCAGGGTGGCGTGGGGCGCTGCCCCTCATTCATGCCCGCTCGGCCACCTCCGCCCGGACCTTCTCGAGCTCCGTGTCGCGCGCCGCCACCGTCCCTTTGAGCTCCGCCACCTGGTCGAGCGCGTCGCCGAGCAGCCCCTTGGCCAAGCCGAGGTCGCGCAGCTGCTCCACGCCGCCGCTCGCCCGCACCTCGGCGGCGTGGTCGGCCACGTAGCGGCGGCACTGCGCGAGGAGCCGCCCGTCGCCCGTCGTGTGCGCCGCCTCGAGCAGCGGCACGGCGCTCGCCGGCCCGACGCTCTCCTCCAGCGCCTGCGCGCAGAGCATCTCGAGGCGCGGCACCTGGTACATCTGCGCCAGCTCCCGCAGCACGAGCGCGCGCCGCGCCTGCTCGCCCTCCCCCTCGCCGAGGTCGAGCTGGTCGGTGCAGAGGTAGTCGATGAAGGCGGTGAAGCTGGCGAGGTCCGTCTTGGGCACCGTGATCTCGGCGGCGTCGCGCTCCTTCATGCCGATGCCAAACATCTTCCCATAGTACTCGGACCGCACGCAGAGCAGGCTCTTGCTCACGTGCTCGATGCGCTGCTCGCCATCGCCGACGATGAAGGTGACCAGGCCGGTGGGGAGGCTGGCGTCGCCCCGCATCTTCTTCAGGTCTGCCACGAGGGTCGAGGGCGGCACCACAATCGGTGCAAATGAGGGAGGCGGAGGAGGCGCAGACACGCAGACCTGGCGGAGAGCCGTCTTTCCCGTGCGGACCAGAAGAGTGCTGCCATCCGGGCTGACGGCGATGCCAGTTGGGCGGTAGAACTCCGCCGCGCCGCCCACGCCATCAGCGCTGCCTTCGGCGCCGCTGCCGGCGACAGTCGTCACTGCGCCCGTCGACACCTCCACGCGCCGAATCTTGTGGTTGCCCCAGTCCGCCACAAGCAGGGCGCTGCCGTCGGGGCTGAGGGCGACGCCAGCTGGCTTGTGGAACTGCGCCGCATCGCCCACGCCATCAGCGCTGCCCTCGGTGCCACTACCGGCGAAAGTGCTCACTGCGCGAGTCGCCACCTCCACCCGCCGGATCTTGTGGTTGAAAAAGTCCGCCACAAACAGCACGCTGCCGTCGGGGCTGATGGCGATGCCACATGGCTTGTAGAACTCCGCCGCGCCGCCCACGCCATCAGCGCTGCCCCTGGTGCCGCTGCCCGCCACCGTGGTCACTGCGCCCGTCGACACCTCCACCCGCCGGATCTTGTGGCCGCCCCAGTCCGCCACAAACAGCGCGCTGCCGTCCGGGCTGATGATGACGCCGTATGGGTCGTTGAACTGCGCCGCGTCGCCCATGCCATCCGCGCTGCCCCTAGCGCCGCTGCCGGCGAGCGTGCTCACCGCGCCCGTCGCCACCTCCACGCGCCGGATCTTGTGGTTTCCTGTGTCGGCCAAAAACAGGGCGCTACCGTCGGGGCTGAGAGCAATACCGCGGCATTCCTCGCAGGTCGCGACGGTGCGGATGCGCCCGGCCGCCGACACGTGGAGCAGCGAGTCCTCCGTCGTCACGTACCAGCCGCCCGCGCGATCGCTTGCGACGGCATACGGCCTTTGCGATGCCAGAGGGCCGTCCTCGCCCTCGAGCGCCAGCGTGGTGACCTGGCCGACGACGCGCGCGCCAAAGATGGGCGCCTCGAAGCCATCCGCGACCGGCACAGCTTCCTCCTCCGCCTCGCCTTCGCTGCAGGTTCGGTCCTAAGCATGTGCGGTGAGTGTAGAAAATTCGTTTTCCTTTTTCCGAGCCCTTTCCGAGAGAAGCTGCCACAGAGAGTATACTGGTTGTGCTCAGGTTGTGCTACATCAACAGGGATCAGGGTGCAACTGAGAGGCTGCAACTAAGGGATGAAACAGCTTTGCAACTGCTGCCCAAGTTTTGTTGATGGGCTGCAACTGCATCCTGCCACCTTGGACACCTCGACACCTTAGACGCAAAACCCCTTGACAACACTCGACACCCGCTCGACACGCTCGACACGCTCGACACCCCTCGACACCCCTCGACACCCCTCGACACGGACAAGCGTGGTTTCAGCCTCGACAGGCCTCGACAGGCCTCGACAGGCCTCGACAGGCCTCGACACCTCTATCCCTCGACAGCAGTAGGGTGCCCACAGGACCCAAAAGAAAATAGCTTTCCGCCTCAAAAAGGGACGCACGCGGCAAATCTGATGTTGGAGTGTTCCAATAGGTATAGGAGCGAGGCCTCTTCCGTTGGGGGACCGAGTGACTAGGAAACGAGGGTTCCCCATTGTGTCCCGCTCCAGCGCGAGCGTGACACTGCACTTGGCGCCGAGCGCCCGCGGCACAGACCTTGTGCAGGCCACCCCTCATTGGGCACGCCGGTCCGGACCGCTGGCGCTCGGTGTGGAGCAAGCAAGACCCCCCCCCCCCATCGGCGCGCGCTCGCCATTCCAACGGCCGCCAGGAGCACCAAGAGGACTCCTCATGGCTGTGCCCAAGTGGGCTTCGACCGGCCTCGGCGGGGGGGGCGGGTTGTCCCGGCTGCGGACGCCTTCTGCAGCCCCCTGGGATGGGGACAGCACCCCAAAACTGCCCCTCGGCGGCATACAGCACTGCCAGCCAGCCTCTTCCTCCTCCTCAAGGGCTGTACTATAGGCCATATTTGCGCCGCCTCCTACTGGCAGCCGGGCGGGCGCGCGCCGCGGGCGCCTCGGCGCGCGCACGGCTCGCAAAGTTCGAACGAGTACTGCCGCCCGGCCGCCTCAAGGCTGCCGGGCGGCAGTACTCGCCTCGCAAGGCGCGCACCGGCTGCTCTGGCTGCTGCGCCGGCGGCCGCTGCGCTGTGGCCGCTGCTGCGCCGGCTGGCGGGCGGTACGGCCGCCGCCGGCCGCTGCACCCGCGCCTTCCCTCGCGGGCGCCGGCGCGCCGCGCGCGCCCAACTCTGCTGGTACACGGCACGCGTCGTCACACAGCCGCGGAGAACAGGCGGTGCTGTGCGTGAAGCGCGCGCGATCTCGTACTTTTAAGGCTGGATCCGGCCATTCCAAGGGTAGCGCTAGCATCGGCCGCCCATCGCCGCACGCGGCCTCCTCCTGCCGCTCGTCATCCTCCGCCTCGAGGGCGTCCGCCAGCGCGCTGCGCCGCACACCCCGGCGCACAGGAGGCGGCGCCGGCCGCACCTCGGCCGCCTCGGCGGCGCCCGCGGCACGGGCGCCATGCTGGCCGTCCGCGCGGTCCATCGCCGCATCCCCATCCCCGTCTGCGGCAGCGCCGCCTGCGCCTGCGCCGGCCTGCTCTGGGACGGCGCGCCACCGCTCGTCGTCCAGCATGTGCCACCACCGCCGATCCGGGTAGCCGTCGTACTCGACCTCGTGCACGATCCGTCCGTCCCCGTCCTCCTCCCGCGCCATGACGGTCGCAGGGTACCACCGCTCACTGTCGCAGAAGATCTCGAGGCGCGATCCGGTGGACAGGACAGTGTGGCCGTCGAGCGCCGCCCTGGCATCCTCGCGCTGTCGCTTCCGCCGCTTCGCCTTCGTCTCCTTGCTGCGCAGCAGGGTGTAGTTCGGGCCCACCTCCGCCACGCTGTCCAGCAGCTGGGCGGCGCTCGCCATCTCGACCGCGTCGTCCTCCGGCGGAAACTCCGCGTCGCCCGCGGCCGCTTCCCGAGCGCGCTCGTCGCGCATCCGCTCGTGGTGGGCCTGCCGACGCGCCACGCCGGCGCCCGTGTGCCTCGCCGCCGCGTCCGGTGACGGCATCGGTCGCTGCCACAGGTCGTCCCAACAGGTCGTCCCAACAGGTCGTCCCAAGGGGACGCATCCAAACCGCCGCATTTCGCCCGCCGAATTCTCCCACTCGCTCTGCCCCAATCTCGAACAAATCTCGAGTCCTCTCACTAGTTACATACATACCTTTGAGAATCCCCAGCGTCCCTCCCTACTAGTCACACTCTCAATATCTCGACTCTCCAACACGAAGTGCTGCGATCGGGGGTGGCCCATTTCTTTTTTCTTTTCTTTTTTGGGTCCTGTGGGCACCCTAACAAGGGACAGCGACAGGCTCGCAGCACGGTGGACTCCCTATTCCACTGGCGATCTCTCTCGACTAGCGACCTTCCTCCGGCTTCTCACCAGAGAGAGAGAGAGAGATTTTTAGCAATACCAAACAACAGTTGTTTGTTGTTGCTCACCAGCAGTCTCTCACTACCATAATTCATTTAAAGAAAGAAAGAAAACAGACAACCCAAGGGAGGGATGGGAGAACGGCACGCCGTCACCACACAGGGATTTTAAGGAGAGGAGTGTGATGCGCTAGCCGTCGCCCACCCTGGGGAGTCTGCTTCTTCGTATCTCTTTTCGCAGTCTCTCGCCGCTTCTCGCTGCAACCTTCATGCCACCTCGCGGCCGTCCCACTCTCGTCGTTCTCTCCCTTGTCACTTCCTCCTCTGTCGCGTCGTTCTCTTCTGCCTCGTCCTGCGGCGCCGCCGCCTGCCGGTCCCTTGATCTCGCGGCTTCTTTCGCCTTTCGGCGCAACTCCGTCCTCCTCGCGGCGTATCCTGGCCCCTCAAGTCTATCGAGCTCCCCTCGCGCAAGTACCACATTTCTCAGGGGTCTGATCTTCGGACTTGACCTTTTTTTGGAACCTCAGACGCCGGCGCACGCATCGTGGATGAAAAATGAGATGTGCGCATTTGCACAAGTTTCAGGATGGGATGGAATTTACACAACAGGCAGTGGTCGGTGGGCGCTGGGAAAGGGGGAATTGGTTGCAGACAGAGCAATGGCCTGCCCGAAGTAGTGGTATTGGACACGGCTGCGGGGTCTGAACTTTGATGCACACTCGCCGGTGTGGAATTGTTGGACACCTTATGCACATCCATGCCCACGGTTCGTAGGACCTAGGACGTCGCTGAGACGTCGTGTAACGTGTATTTTGGTGCCGTGTAAGATCGTTTCAGTTGGCCAAGAGCCTTGATCACTTCGCGTACCTTTCTTCTTGCCGGGTGGCGGCTTGACATAATTAGTTCTCACACGATGATCTGTGGGTGATGGCATAGAGACTGTGGCGGGCAGGGTTCGTGATTTCACATACATGGAAACCGAGCGAATCGGTTTCACTCTCACTTTCCCTTCACATTCGTTTTCATGTGAGCCCGAGCGCCGTCGACCGCACCGCCTCCGGCAGCGCCCGTGGCTTCGCCCAGCACCACTCGCAACAGCTCTCGCGCGCCGCCGTCTGTGGCGACGCGCAGAACATCAACAACGCTGCTCGCAACATGCGTGTCGCGCACTCATTCATGACCGGTCTCAATGCCCCACCCCCCTGCGCGTCAGACCAGGGCTCAGTGTGCAGTGGGACGCGCGTGTTGCGCCTACCGTGTGGCCTTCCGCGAGATCACTCGAGATCACCCGAGACCACCCGAGATCACCCGAGATCACCCGAGAGCGCGTGCTGCGCCTACCGTGTGGCCTGCACCCCGACACACGCTCGGCATCTACGGCGTGGCACATGCGCGAGAGCACCACCCCCCAAGCGGCGCCGTGGTCCTCCCCGTCGTCGCACACGCGGTCGTCGCCCCCGCCTCTAACGCCTGCGGGTCGCGGCAGGGTCGCGCCTTCGGACAGGCCGCTCAAAGAAGGTGGCCGGGCGGGGGCGGCGGCGAGGTGAAGGCAGCGCGGTGGGTCGATCTGTCTCTTCGGTGCTCGCGGTTGGGTCGATCTGCTCGACCGGCGCCCCAGCCGACAGTGATGCTGTCGCCGTAGAAGGCGAGCCTACTCGCGTCGTGCGAGGTCATTAATTAGTTGTTAATTAATTAAACTAATTTAATTTGTCGCCGTAGAAGGCGAGCCTACTCGCGTCGTTTTTCTTTTTTGCGAGGTCGTCCGATGTGAGGGCGCCGCTCGCGGCCGCGTGGAAGGTGCACCGCCGCCCCTCGCGCCAGGGCAGCGCAGCCTCGGAGAGGTCGGAGCCCTGCGAGAGGGAGAGAGGCCGCGGCGTGTAGAGGCCGCGATGTGTGAGAGGCGGAAAAAGCAGACAAGCCGGCTCAGCCTCACCTCGTCGAAGATGAGGCCGCCAAAGATGGCGGCTCCGAAGCTGGGGCACCAGTCGCAGGGCGGCCTCGCGCCACACGCCTGTGCGTGTGTGTGCGGCGAGGGAGGGAGTCGGGGTCACGGCTGAACTCCGGGATGGGAGGGAGAGGATCGCGCCTCGGTCAGCTTGAGGACCATCACGCCTCGCGGCTCGGCGGACAGACCAGAGAAGAGCTCGTACGAGCCGTAGTGGCCCCATGCAGTCTTACGGCCAGCGCTGGTGAGGATCTCGCGGTGGCGGCGGTACCTGCGTTGTTGATGACTGTCACCGGTCGCGCCGCTATGGCACTCGGAAACACTGTTTCGAGTCGAGCGCCGTCCGGGTGACGTGTTGTGCATTGGCGGCGGTGCCTCGTCAAGTTGTCGGGCTCGCTGACCCGCCCGGGGGGGGGGGGAGCACCGCGTGGCACGAGAATCACAGGCGAAATGCCCTCAGGAGTGACGAGGGCGCGCATGCGGGCACGAACCGACGCGGGCGATGGCGGCAAGCACTGGATCGCCGAGCCGGGCGTCCTGTAAATTTTCTTTTTATTCTCTCCCGGACATCATGAAACGCCGCTCGCCACAAGCAAAGCCCAACGCGCCGGCGACAAAGGCCAGCAGGACCGCGTCGTCGAATGTGTACATTGTTCGATGGACGCGCGAGACAAAAATCGACGGGTGGGATTACGAAGGCCTCAACGAGATCGAGACGTGCGGTGGCACAGAGGAGGAGGCCGTCCAGTACGTGAAAGACGAGCTCTTCGCCGTCAAGGGCTTGGACAAGGACCTCGGCTCGTACAGCTGTTTCGCGGACGAGGCGAGCGCGCGCGCCGCTGTCGTCGACTGCCTCGCCTCGCTAGTGGAGACGGTGCGGCACGGCGTGCGCGAGGCCACGGGTCTCACAGCGGCGGGCCTCGCTCGCGCGAAGAAGACAGATGAGCTCGTCGAGAAGACGACGGCAGGCGGAATTCCTGGTGTCGAAGTGACGGGGGATGTCGAAGAGGGCGCGCACATCTCACCGTCGTGTCGCGAAGCGATTCACGGCGTCTACTTCAGCATCTACACCATCTACTTCAGCAAGGTTGAAGGAGAGGACTGCGGGTGCATTGAGGCGATGCACTCGTGTGACACCGTCGCAACTCACGTGTCCGTGTGGGTTGAGAAAATGAACATCGTGCAGTAAGCATATCGTAAATATCGATTCATACTCGTGTGTATCTAGCTATCGGTGTGCTGCCTCTGATGGCACAAAGAGCTCTTAGCCTTAGGCTTCCCAACAGGGCAGGGAACCCCCAGCGCGCAGGCGAGGCCCACGGTACTCGGTAGCCTCGTGCAGTTACCGAGAGCTGGGGGAGAGGCGCGCCACGCCTAGGGGGACGAGTGACGGGAGGGGGAGAGTATAGTGTCTTTCGCAGGATAAAAGCAATTTTTTTTGCTTATTTATCGCACGAGTCCACAGAACAGAGAAAACTCTCTCCAACACCAAAGGCAAAGCGTCACGCACGCCGCACGGGGCACACGAAACAAGCGTAATTGGTGGCCACACCGCAAGGCGCGCCGTCGCTCGCGCACAACACTCACACGTCTCTCGCTCCGCACGCATACGCAAACGGGCCGTCCGCGCCCCCGCCAACCAACCTAGGTCTCAGCACCCAACGAGGGCCGCGCGTGCGCTCGCCACGCACTCGCGCTGACGCGCGCTAGCGCCGCCGCCGCCCACGCCGTCTAGCGCAGAGGGCAAGTCGAGGCCGGCGCAGAGCGCCTGCGTCTCCACATCGCCGTGAGCCAGAGTGCCGAGGGCGAGCGCCGCACGGCAGCTGGCCTCCTCGGCCGCCGCCGCCGCGACCGCCGGCGCGGTCGCGAGCGCCGGCGCGGTGAGCAGCTGCTGCAGCGCGCAGATCGCGGGCGTCTTTGTGTCGCTGCTCGCGGCGGAACGGCGGAGGAGCACCTGTGTGTGTTGCCGGTCCGGGCGGGAGATATGGGGAGATATGGGGAGATATGGGGAGATATGGGGAGATATGGGGAGGTTTGGGGAGATGTTGCCGGTCCGGGCGGGTGTCGCGTCGCGATGCGTCGGCCGTCGTGTGCACAGTCCGCGGCAGATCTGCTGTGTTGACACACCGTCGTGGCCGAGCCGTTGAGCTGGACATCTCCCCACATCTCCCCACATCTCCCCACATCTCCCCATATCTCCGCACCGCCGCGTTGAGGAGGAGCGTGGCGAGGGCAAGGCGAGTGGCGGGCCGCTCGCTCTCGTGCGCGCCTGTGGGGGGGCGGGGACGGGGGGGTGGGGGGGACGGGGGGGCGGGGGGCGGGGGGACGGGGGGGCGGGGGGGCGGGGGGGCGGGGGGGCGGGGGGGGTGGTGGGCGGGGTTTGGGGGGGGGGGAGGGGGATTGGACAATCGGACACGTGGTTGGGGTGCACCTGCGCGCGCCCAATGCCTCTGTGCCATGTGCGTGCGCGCGTCTGAGGAGCGTGAGCATCTGAACGTGCCTGCGTCCGTGCGTGCGTGCGTGCTTGCGTGCGTGCGTGCGTACGTGCGAGCGTGCCTGCCTGCGAGCATGCATTCGTGCATCCGTGCGTGCGTTTAAGGGGTGTGTACGTGCCTGCGTGCATGCCTGCGCGCGTGCGTACGTGTGTCGGTTCCTGTGGCGGGCGCCTGCCCCTTGCGGCCGCCTCCAGGAATGGGCAGGTAGGAGGGCAAAGGGAACGCCCCCGCCCTTGCCCCGCCCGC